TCTTCAAAGCCTCCTTCCCCAGTCTCTCCTTAGGTGTCTCTAGCCCACTGTGCCCTCGCCTTTGCCGAAGCCCAGGGTAAGCGGCTACCAATAAAAATGTATGCATTGGCCCTTTAAACAGCTCTTTGCATCTCCAGCTGCCTGTCTTAGGCAGAGAGCACACTGCAGCTTTTCACAGCTGGCTGTTATCTGTGTGCTTTTTGAGATCTGGTGCTGTAGGCTGGAGATCTCCGCTTATGGTTTAGACCCCGCTCTTCTCAGGGGGATCCAACTGGCCATTTCAATATCCTTCTGGTGCTGCCACCAATGGGCACCTCGCCCACCTTGTCAAGTCTCTACCATGCTCTTTACCAGTTAGGTTGTGCTAAAGCTGATTCCTCTATCTGTCTGAGGTTAAAAGGCTCCTCTCTTGCTATTGTTCAGCTGTTTGTTCCAGGCGATTTCTCCACAATTTAGTTGTAATTCCCGGTTGGTCCTGGGAGGAGGCCAGTGTAACTTCCACTCATTCCTCCGCCATCTTGATTCTCAGAGAATTTTCTTAATTTCATATTTTAATTGTTCACTGCTAATTATAGAAATAAAATTGATTTTTGTATATTAATCTTGTATCCTGAGATCTTGTTAAACTTATTAGCTCTAATAGTTTGCATGTATGTGTGTATTCTTTAGGGTTTTCTATATACAAAATCATGTCATCTCCAATAGAAACAATTTTATTTCTTGCTTTCCAAACTGGATGCCTTTCCCCCTTACATAATTGCCCTACCTAGAATATCCAGTACAATGTTGAAAAGAAATGGCAAAAATGGCCATCCTTGTCTTGTTCCTGGGTAGGGGGAAAGCTTTTAGTTTTTCATAATCAAGTATGACATTAGCAGTATTTTGTAGCTGCTCCTTATTTGGTTGAGGAACTTACCCTCAATTCTTAGTTTCTTGAGTTTTCTTTTGTATCATGAACAGATGTTGGATTATCATAAGTCTTTTTCCTACATCTGTTGGGACGACTGTGTAGTTTTTGTCCTTTATTCTATTAATATGTTATATTCCATTGATTGATTTCCATATGCTGAACAAACCTTGCATTCATAGAATAAATCCCATTTGGTCATGATGTGTAATCCTTTTTATTTGTTGTTGCATTCATTTGCCAGCATTCTGTTGAAGAATTCTGTGTCTTTATTAATAAGGTCATTGTTCTTTAGTTTTCTTATGTTTTTGTTTGGTGATACAAGGGTAGGGCTAGTCTTATATAAAACGAGTGGGGAAGTATTTCCTCCTTTTCTATTTTTTGGAAGAGTTTTTGAAAGACTGGTATTAATTCTTCTTTCAATGCTTGGTAGAATTCACAAGTGAAGTCATTTGGTCCTGGGCTTTTATTTGTAGAAATTTCTTTATTACTAATTCAAACTTTATTTGCTATATGACTACTCAAATTTTGTATTTTACCTTCAGTCAGTTATACTAGCTTGTCCATTTCATCTAGGTTACTTAATTTGTTGGCTTACAATTGTTCATAATATTTGTGGTAGGCACATGCCCCCAACCAAAGATGTCTGAAACCTCTAACTATATTATGCTTCATGCAAGGGGTAATTATGGTCGCAGATGGGTTAAATTTGCTAATCAGCTGACTTTCGGGAAAAATTATCCTGCGTTATCCTGCTGGGCTCAGTGGAATCACAATGTGGGTGAGGGATGCAGAAGAGTCAGTGTCAGAGTGACGTGCTGCGAGAAGACACTGCTAATTCCTTGGTCTTGGGCTTTTCCATCCACTTCTCCCTTTGCCTGGAAGGCTCCTCTCCTAGGTCATACTTGTCAGATGGAAAGAAAACTGAACTGGTGTTCATATTCTTACACGCACCAATGTCAGGGGGAGGCCAACACAGTGTATCTCAGCTAAGCTCCTACCTAAGGTTTTGCATTTCCAGGGGCCCTGGTGATGAGGTCCCTGCATGTATAAATGACCTTATGGGACTTCTGTAGGTTCCACAGGGACCAAGGGAGAGAGAGAGAGAAAGAGAGAGAGAGAGAGAGAGAGAGAGTGTGTGTGTGTGTGTGTGTGTGTGTGTGTGAGAGAGAGAGAGGGGGTTTTCTAAGGGGTTTGTGTTGCAGACACAGCGTGAGGTTTTGGTGGGGTTGAGTGGGGAATCGAGTTTTCACAGAAACATTACATGAGCTTCTGAACACTGTGGGACAATGGCTGACTTTACTGGGGTCTCCCCAAGGGCCAGCCATCAGTCTGAGGAGGTCACATTTGTTGTCTTTACGAATTTAAAAATTTCTCCCTTACTTAAAGAATATTCAAAGACATCAATATTTCAAATTTGGAGTATTTAACCTAAATGGGTACAAAAACAAGCAATGCTAGAAACAGTCCATGATATCTGGCATATTTAACTCTTTGGCCATAAAGAAGGAAGTTGCCCTGATCGGTGTGGCTCAGTTGGCTGGGCATGGTACCACAAAGCAAAAGGTTGCCAGTTCGGTTCCTGGTCAGGGCACATGCCTGGGTTGTGGGCTCAGTCCCCAGTTGGAGCGCATACCAGAGGCTACCAATTGATGTTCCTTTCCCTCCCTTTTTCTCTCCCTCTCTCTAAAAGTAAATAAATGAAATCTTTTTGTTTTTTTTTAAAGCACCATGAGGAAGGCAGCAGCCAAGGACTGAGCCCCGTCCCCTCTGTAATAAAACCTGTTCAGAAAAAAAAAAGCACTATGTGTATTGGTTGTATGATTGCAACTAAATTTTTTTTAAAAAAGAAGGAAGCTGCCCAACTAAAGGAATTCTACAAAGAATATCTCTTGATTAGTTCTGTCATTTCCAAGCCAAGCATGAGAAAAGTTATATATTATACATTTAACCTAAATGTTTTTCTAAAAATAATGTACTTCTTCCTGGAAAATTAAGACAGAAGGACTGCAGGTACATTTATCTAATCACTTATTTATTCCAGTGTTAACTTTGGGAGCTGGCTCTACAAGTAGCTTACCCCCAACTGTACACATTTTGATCAACACCAAGGTCATTTAAGTTCAAAAACTATATTCTTGGCGCCCTGTCCAGGTAGCTCAGTTGTTAGAGCATCATTCAGAAATACCAAGGTTGTGGGTTTGATCCCCACTCAGAGTACATAAAAGAATCAGCCAGTGAATGTATAAATAAGTGGAATAACAAATTGATGTTTCTCTCTCTCTCTCCTTCCTCTCTATAAAGTCAATCAATAAATAATCAAAAAATATATTCTTGGTAATCAAGACATAATTTAATTATAAGTACTTTAAAAAAACACAGTAATTTAGAAATAGAGGTTACACTGATTCCCTATGAGGGACACACTCAAGTCAACAAATACACATGAGCCCTGGCTATTGTGGCTCAGTAGGTTGAGCTTTGTCTTGCAAACCAAAAGATTGCCAGTTCTATTCCCAGACAGGGCACATGCTTGGGCCGTGGGCCAGACTCCTGACTAGGGGCATGCAAGAGGCAACTGATTGATGTTTCTCTGGCACATCAATGTTTCTCTCCCTTTCTCCCTCCCTTCCCCTCTCTCTAAAAATAAATAAATAAAATCTTTAAAAAAACAACCCCAAAACAACAGCACCAAGTACATCTGAGTGCCCAGTGATTATGAAGCCCTAGGCTTGGTGCTGCAGGGCTGGAGCAAGATGCTGGGTCTCCCTTCCAGAAGCTCACTGCCGAGTTAAGGGAGTCCCCAGCAAAGGCGTGGACAGAACACAGCAGGTCACACTAAATGCTGCATGTGATTAGGGAGCTGAGATCCTCGCCACCAGAAAGAGGGCTGGGACTCATCAGAAGTCTGCAAGTAAGCAGGGTGTCCCACGAAGGGATGGAGTTATACAAAGCTGGGTGGAAGGAGGATTTGGGGCCTGTTTAAGGAATCCCAGAGTGAGCAGTGTGTCCAAAGAATCAAGGGAGGGTGGTAGAAAGGGAAGCAGACTGAAAGCACAGTAGAGATGCTGCTGCAACCTGGGACTTTACAGGTGATGAGGAGCCACAGGCAGGAGGGGGTCAGTGGACAGGCCGCAGTTTTCAGAGAACAGCTGTTCTGAGCGGGAGGGAATGCTATAGGATGGACAGTCCCCGCCCAGAGGGAGGGAGACTGGTCACTAGAGGTTGCAGCAGGCAGGTGGGGGGCCTGGCCAGGGACAGCAGTAAAAACAGACACTTCCATTAGTCTCTGCCTTTAGATTTTTTTGAAAAAAGTTTTTAGTAAAATTTATGGAGCTACATGATGCTGTTGGAACACTTCCAAGTTAAGATTTTGCAGAAAGCATTTCCAATGTGATAACAATGTTTAAGGAATGAAATTGCGAACTGTCCAGCACCCTGCCCACATTCACACAGGAGCTCAGAGATGGAGAAAAGATCGGGAGGCTGTACAACAGCCATCAACGTGACAAACCCTCTCACCAAACTGGTGTCACACTGGGGTCTAGCAGGATTCTTGTCTTTGGGTAGAAGACTGAGCCACAGAACTGTAGAGACTGCCTACCTGTGTCACATTTGACAATTGTGTGTGTTTGGTAATAATGCTCTTCCGCTCCCCACTTAACTTGCATGATGTCAACTAATGTCAACTGAAGCAACTATTGTTAAGGAAGGATATTTGAATTTCTTAACTCTCGCCTCCATTTCTTTTAGCTTTGAATATTTTCTTAGTAACACAGGGACAGACTGGACTGGACAGGATTAAGACGGAAATATTTTAGAACACACAAAAGAAGAGAACTTAAAAGACAAACTCAATAAAATGCACCCAGAAATACTTTTACATTCACATATGCTTAGGAGCATATGGATTGGGCTAAATAGAATCTACCTAGTAACTATAAATTTTTTGCTTTAAATGACAGCATGCTAGAACGTAAGTTAATGTGCATGGGTCTTTATTAGTCTTTGCCTAGTTTTCAGATGGGAGGTAATTAAAGTTTTTCATCACAAATAACTTTTGGAGAAAAAAATGATTATAAAACAGTATTACCTTGCATATTATATGGATAGTAGTTAGGATCCTCCGATTCTTTCTTGACTGACACAGCTGCTGCTTTCAATGAAATGCCTTTGGATGCAATGGAAATGACAGAATTATGTGTTAGGTCAAACCCACCAACACAGAAATATGACCAGCTGATAGCACTTCCAGGTTCTGTTTTGATTACCATAGCAACAGTATAATCAGCAAAAGAACTTGTTTACTTACTATGAGCAAATGGCTTATCCATATAAAAATACAAATAATATAAAAATAAAATAATACAGCCCTGGCCAGGTGGCTCAGTTGGGTAGAGCACCTGACTGACAGAATTGTGAGAAAACGGAACCATTGAAGCCACAGTTTTGGTGCCTTTTAATACAGCAATGGATAACTGCTACTGAAGTATACATGTGATTTTACCATGAATGTTAATAACATCAAAAGCAAAAACTGTGGGACAGCATGGGCTTCACTGTTTAATGTCAATGTACAATTCTGAGGGGTCTTCCAAAAACGAACAGCTGTTGGTATGAGGAGAGTGAGACTGGATAGTTAAAACGTGATTATCAAAAAGGAAAATTTGTTAGAACCACTGAGGAACAGAATGGATGCAGCTGATGGACCTATTCGTGAAATGGTAGATTAAGTTGAAGAATTTGCTCAGAAACAAGACAAAAAGGTAATTTGATGGAAAGATGAAAGAAAAGTTTCATCAAATGGACGTCTACTTTTGCTCAAAAAAGAAAAAAGGAAGATGCTATTTATGTGTTTATTTGTAAGTAATCTGGAAGAATTTTCACCCATTGGTTAAAAGTTGTTGGTCTAATGTGGAGAAGCAATTTGAGTTGTGCAGGGAGACTTAGGGGGGCATGGGGTTTTGAGAGGGGAGAGTGAAGGGGTGAAAAGGAATTTTTCTTATTACATGTAAAAGTCTGAGTTTTAAAAAATTTAAACATGTATAACTTTTGTAATATTTATAATAAAATTTTAATTCAAGTACATATTCCAAGTTGATTAGGCACTAAAGACTCTACTAACAGAAACATTTGATAAACATATGACAGCTGTCTATCAAGGAAAATTTCTTTTAATCCAGGCAATTGAAGCCAGATTTAACAGTGCAGAATCTGTGTGAAATGCTAATGAAAACATTTACTTCAGCTCTTCCTCAAAATGAAAGAGAGAGAGAGAGGGCGGGGGGGGGAGAAGAGAAAGGGAGAGACAGAGAGAGAAAGGAATTCAAAATTCAAAACCATTTAAACACTTGTTCTATGGAACAAGTGCTACATAAATATCCCAAGAAATAAGGCCCATTGATGGCTGGCTCTCAGAAGCCTTGCAGGCAGCTGGAAGCAATTTGTATTGCATCACGAAATCCACAGTAGAATTCATTAATATCATTTCTTGAATAAGACTTTTATTTATTTTTGAGAGAGGTGAAGGGAGGGGGGGAGAGAGGGAGAGAAACATCGATGTGAGAGAGAGACATCAATCGGTTGCCTCTTGTGACCAAACCTGCAACCCAGGCATGTGCCCTGAACTGGAATCAAACCAGTGACCTTCTGCTTTGTGGGGCGACACCCAACCTAGCACACCAGTCAGGGCAATAGCATTTTTTTTTGGTTTAAACAGAACCACATCTCCAAAGAAGGCCTCAACAAGAGGCCTATGTTTAAGTGGGAGGGAAATGCTCACTGGGCCAAAAGCTGGTGAAGAAGGTGATGGGGGGTTTGGGTTTGGACCCATGAAACAGCCCCTGGAGAGAGCTGACGACTCCCTCCGCCCCCACCTGTCATCCTTCTGAGAGGAGACTGCGGGAAGACATATCTGAGCTTTGAAAGCTTTGAAAGGCGAAGATGAAATGGGTGCGAGTCGAAGACAATGTCATGTGTGAGATTAAGACTCCACAGCTGAATTCTGCTCAGCTGAGATCCATGGCTCCTTTCTTTTCATTGACTTGTGTTGGTTTTACCTACAATAACTAAAGTGGACTAGCACCATTATTTTTCAGACTCTGTCATTTAAGGTGGAGCTTCTACTAAGCACATATTTACATGTGGATGGAAGGGACACAAGCACCTGCAGTTGTGGTGGGGAGACCCTTGGCTACTGGGGTCCCCCTAGTGACTGGGGGGCTCCTGAGGATAAACCACATCTCGATGGCTTTATGGTGCTGGTGCTCTGCCTTCCACTCTACTCAAGGTAAGTCTCTATTTCCCTGTTTTTCACATCTTCTCTTCTCAGCATTAAATACTGTTTTTCTTTTAGATTATCTTAATTTTATTTATTTTTAGAGAGAGGGGAAGGGAGGAAGAGAGGGAAAGAAACATCAATATGTGGCTGCCTCTCCCATGCCCCCTACTGGGGACCTGGCCTGAAACCCAGGCATGTGCCCTGGCTGGGAATCGAACCAGCGACCCTTTGGTTTGCAGGTGGGCAATCAACCCACTGAGCAACACCAGCCAGAGCTATCTTAGATTTAATTTTAACTTTACATTTTGAAACTGATTATTTCACATTCTAGGTTGCTTTTGTGTGCGTTATTAAATTCTAGTTTTTGTTTTTTATAGTCAGCTTGTGTTTGTTTTTATCTTTTTTTAAATATATCCTCACCCGAGGATATGCTTATTGATTTTGGAGATGGGGGAAGGAGGGAGAAAGAGAGGGAGAGGATTATCAATGTGAGAGAGAAATATGATGGGTTGCCTCTTGCATGCGCCCCAACTGGCACCAAACCCATAACCCAGGAATGTGCCCTGACTGAGAGTTGAACCAGCGACCCTTCAGTCTACAGGACCACTCTCCATCCAACTGAGCCACACTGGGAAGGGCTCATGTTTACCTTTTTGAGGTCTGAGTTTTAGTTTTATATATGTGATTATTTTGAGTTTTCTAACCTTTCCACTTCTAATACTCTCAATATTTTCCCATCTCTTGATTAAACATTTGAGTTTTTTTTTTAATCTATTTAAAAAAAATATTTACCCTCTACTCAATGCCATTTTTCTTTTTTGAGGAGTGGGGAGAGGCAGGGATGGGGACAAAGTACTCTGATCACTGAAGAGGGATTTTTTTCCATTCTACATTGTCTTAGTAATGCATGTTTATTGTAGAACATTTATTTATTTTTTTATCTTATTTAAAAGATTTTATTTATTTTTTAGAGAGGGGGAAAGGAGGGAGAAAGAGAGGGATAGAAACATCGATGTGTGAGAGTAACATTGATCAGCTGCCTCTCACAGGCCCTCAACCAGGGACCTGGCCTGCAACCCAGGCATGAGCCCAGACCAGGAATTGAACTGGCGACCCTTAGGATCCCTGGCCAGTGCTCAATCTACTGAGCCACACCAGCCAGGGATATAGAACATTTAGCAATGAAGGAAGAGTGCAAGAAAATAGTAAAATATATCCAAAAATGAAAACACTACTCTATTTATAAATCAAGTCATAATTCCAAATGCGTACTCAAGACATTTTACTCATTTCACATACAAGTTCTAATTTAAATATAGTTAAAATAATATTTTTTGCCACAAATACATCTACTAAATAATATCAAATACCTATTATTTACTGAATTAAACATTTCTTTTCTAGGTATGTGAATAAAATATGATTATTCTGCAAATAAGGTCCCATTTGGGGTTAATTAGTGCCTTAATTCCCATTTTTATGGTGGATTTGTTCTGATTTTCTGAACAGACCATCATATCATCTGTGAACAAACTCAGTTTTATTTCTTTCTTCCCAATCTGTATACCTTTTATTTCCTTCTCATGTCTTATTGCACTAGCTAGGAGCTCCAGTATGAAGGTGAAGGGAGTGATGACAGGGGATAGCCCTGCCTTGTTCCTGAACTTAGGGGGAAAGATTCTAGTTTCTCACCATTGGCTATACTGTTAGTTGTAATGTTTTGTAGATTTAAAAAAAAATCAAGTCAAGGAAGTTCCCCTCTAAGTTTACTGAGAGTCCCCCCACCTTTTTTTTTTTTTAAGTAAAACAAAAGAAAGGAGTCGAATGATAACCTGCTAAATACTGGATTTTAAAATCATTAGTGTACATACCAGAATCTTCCATGGGTTCAGTTTTCACATGGATGGGGCCACAACTGAAAGGAGAAGGGAACCCTGGTCAAGACAGGCGGGGGACAACTGAGCACCGGTATACGGTGAATTCAAATTCCCCAGATCTCCATGCTGTCAAATCTCCCTTCCCACAGCAAACTGAAAGCAAAACTGCCACAACTTTAATGTTAATTTTCTTATTAATCTTTTACAAAATTAAAGGTGTCAGCTGAATGTAGCCTTATAATCCTGAACATCTTTTTGAACCAAGAATATACAGCTGATCTGTGGACACTTGGGGATTAGGGGTACCAACCGACCACACAGTCGAAAATCCGAGTATAATTTATGTTGACCCTCTGCATACGTGCTTCTCAGCCCTGTCTGGAAATACAACTGACCCCTAAACAACGTGGGTCTGAACTGCACTGGTCCACTAATGGTACAAGAGGGGCCATGTGGTTCAAACCCATGTTGTTCAAGGGTCTGCTATATAAAAAAAGTAAGGAAGACATTCCAGTTTAAAAAGTAACACTTTGGGGCTAGATGTGGGTTGTATTTTTTATTCATCCCTTACCTTTCACTTGGCGACGGCACTGATCGCTCAGCATCTGTTACCATGCCAGGGCCACCTGTGCAGGAGTAAAAAGACACACACTAGCCTCTTTCCATATCTTGAAATATGACAACATTCAAAGGCGCGTTAAGTGAAAGCAAGTACAGAGAGTGCAGAACTCTCATCTCTAAGTCGCCGTGGAACAGCAGTGCAGGGAGAGACCCACTCAAGCCTGACCCCGAGCTCTGGGGCCGTGTGTGGGCAGGATGGGGGCCGAGGAGCAGGCTGGGGCTGGAGCACGGGTGTGGGTCCCACGTCGCTGCTCACCAGCTGGCTGACCTCCAGCAACTTACTAAACCTCCCTGTGCCTCAGTTTCTTTACCAGAAAATGGTGGTTGGGTGAGGATTAATACATGTAAAGTGCTTAGAATAGTGCCTGGCATACCATAAGCACTAAATAAGTGCCAGCCACTATTATTATTGTTTTAAAATGAAAATACAAGTCATCTGGCACAACAATCACCTGATCACCTGCCACCCTCACCTTCAAGTCCCTCCTTTCAGGTGAGCTAGAGGATTCCAGGAGCTCACAACTGTTCCCGGAACAAACTCTGCTCTGTGTGTAGTCCATGCGCATAAGACCTGGAGCATGTCACGCTGCCCTCTGTACCCCAAGTGTGCCTTGTGCACTGTGAGTACCCTACCTACACCCCCCAGGCCACCTCTACCTACACAGGCTCAGTATGACGTCCCTATTAGACCTGATCTTTCATATCCAGCTATGGTTTCCACTTACATTCTGAATAGTAACCTCAGAAAAGAAGTGGGCATAGGTAGATCTCTAAACGCTTCTGGTAAATTATTATTATTATTTTTTGTCTCTTCATAATCATAAGTTCAGGAGATTTTAAGGACTCAGTGGTTCTCCACTGTGTCCTCAAACACTCTCCACATAGCTTTCTGCCTGATCACACTTCATATGCTTCCTGAAAGAACCAGCCTGTGGATACCCTGCTTATCTGGAGGGCCCGCTCCCTCAGGAAGCCGTTCTGATTACGCTATTCTAACCCCTTTTCAGGGACTCTCAGCGATTTCCCCTGGCCATTCTGAGAGCACAGGCCACACTTGGTCCCCTGCTGGACAGTCTCACTCCTCCTAGACTGTGAATTTCAGCAGCATGGGAAGAGCCACACATCCTAGTCCCACTCCTGAACCCAACAATGCCTGACTTGTGGTGGTGGTCAAAGACCACGGCATGACCCCAGAATGCCCACACTCTTGGGACCAGGACAAGGTAGGTCTACTGCTGTCTGCAACCTGGATGCAGAAACTCGCTGGCATGGGAGCTGGGGGGAGGGTGGTGTCCCGGCTTTCCAGGCAGGGCGTGTTTTTCCCTGAGCTGCATATCCGGAAAACAGCATGACCACCTACCCTGGAAAGTCGCGAGGTTGCTTCCTCAAAGAGGAGAAGGCAAAGAATAAACAAGCTTTAGAATGTTCCGAACTTGCATATTATTTAGAAAAGCAGAGGTTGTTTAGCGGCCAAGGGCAGTCACGACGTAGGAGAAGCTTACACTTACCTAGCTGATCTGCCGGACCTAGGAAAGGTCTGCAAGAAAACCAACACTATTACCCAACAGGAACAGAAAGATTAAACATCGAAATAAACAACTTCTAAATGTAACAGAACATAATTAACTAACTGAAATTAAGCCCTCAGTTTATCTTTAAGTAAACTAACTGCTATAAAAGGACAGGGCTTGTCACCTGTTTATGATGAATGAGATCCCCGCTTTGTTCTCCAAAATCCATTTCAGAGTTGCAAGATCATAGTTCTCTGGGTGCTGAAAGGCAACTCCCTCTGGAAGCCCCTGTACTACCACAGCCGACTGATCTCGCAGCATCTTCTCATACGGAACAGGCACCATTGCTGTTGTTCCTAATGCTTTACCTAGAAGAAGAGGCAAGTTGACTTTAAATGGTACGAGTGTAAAACCCCACCAGTCAGTTTCATTCAGTGTAATAAACACAGGTGGTGACATCTGGCTTTGAAGATACATTAGAAATATAAGGTACCCTACTTCTCTATGTCCCAAGTCAGAAAAATTCCCAACCAAAGGACCCCCCCAAAATTAATGATATTTACTTTAAGCCTTCACATAAGAAAGAAAATAACAGATCTTTTTTCTCCATTCTCTTGGGGGTTGGACAATTTGGGGTACTTGCCCCAGCACGCCCAGGGCTGCAGAGAGCACCCCACGGTTATTCAGACTGCACCCAAAAGAGGACAATTGTCTGTATGTCACACCAACAAGTCAGGCTACCTTGCCTGTGGAAGAGTTATGAAGTCACCATGGTCTCCTGTCACCACCTGGGGCTGCATGTCTTTCTATACTGGCCAGCCAGCCCTCAGGTGCCGGAGCTCCATTCCTCATAAAGAATTGTAGCCTGAGGTCCCAAGACCTCATGTGCTGGGAGTCCCCAAAGTCGAGGACTCACAGGGACCTGCAGGTCACATAAGTGTGCGCAGCTGTCTAGGAATGATAAACAAGGCCTCGGGACATTAGGGTACGTATATCACAAGTACAACACCTGTACAGTTACCTAGCTTTTTATAACACTGTGTAGGTATTTTTTAAAAGAATCCCCGTCTTAATGCCTGTGGAAAGATGTGGGTAGATGGAGAGACAGATGAGGGTGAAACTGGTGACCAGGGCAGCAATAAAAACCTTTAATCAATTGGGTTGGCTGAGGAGTGGGGGCTCCCTAAAATGGGAGCAAAAATTGAAAACTGACCACGGCGGAGCTTTCTATGGACCAGAATAAACCAAGTTGTCTTCTGTAACAAAGCCTGACCTAGTACATTAAGAACTGGCTCTTTGCTTGATGAGAATGTGGATTTTCAAATGTTAGAAACCTTCTAAATTGTCACATCAATAAGATGATCTAACACTGTCCTAGTCGTCCTCCGGAGCTATTCAGGGAATTAGTGCTTCAAGTGCACTTTACCATAACAAAAGCAGAAATAGTCCTCAACTGCTTTTCTGAGTATTTCCGCTTCTCCCGAGTGGAGCTGTGTCCTGTTCACCGGGAGCGGGGGTTTCACCTCAGGCAGGCCTTCTGCTATGCCTGTGAACAAGTCATCAGCGCAAAGTCAGTCTCCAGGCGTTTGTACCATACACATTCTTAACCTCTATGCTTCTTGTATACGGAAAATAAAAAGGGAAACAGAGTAATAAACATAAAACAAGATCTTTGTTTATTTAAATAAAAACAAAGAATGAGCTATTTATAATGAACAGGATAATATAACATAGTGATCATCTCTGAAATGAATCAATTGATAAAGAACTGTAAGTCATACAACACACAAGGAAATATTTGTAGTTCAAAGTAAATTATTTTTAACGGTCATTGTGTAGGAAGACCCTCACCACTGAACATGTTCTGCACCAGCCTTCTATCACCCCTATCAGCTGCTGTTCCAAAAGTTTTGAAACTGGTGGGTTTATTATTTTTAATCCTCACCCAAGGATATGTTTATCAACCTCAGAGAGAGAGGAAGGGAGACACAGAGAGAAACACCAATCATTTGCCTCATCACGTGCATGAACCAGGGATCAAACCCACAACCCTTTGGTGCATGGGATGACGTTCCAACCAACTGAACCACCAGGCCAGGGCTGGTGGTTTTAATCAGAGCTAGTCAAGAGACAGAAACCACATGTTAATTTGAAGAGGGAAAGTATAATAAATGATTCATTAACTATTTATACTAGCAAGGGATTGACTACTAAGGAGCAACAAGAACTCCAAAGAACACACAGCAGCAGTAGTGGGAGCAGCCCCACTGCAGGAGCTGAGGCAGAGCCCTGAGGAAGGAACTACTCTGGAAGAGGGGTCCCCAGAGAGATCCAGAGCTCTGGGGCGAATGCAGTCATGGCCTATTGGACAGTGGAAAAGTTGGCTGGGATGCAGCAAGCAGGGGCCGGCAAGCCACGACCCACCTGGCGGTGGCTAGGGAAATCACGGGCAAGTTGCCCCCAGGTGCCTGCAAGGCTTGCTGGGAGCTGCAAAGAAGCTGCCCTCTGGGGTGCTGGTGGGACCCTGATAACCACCTGCGGGTGCTGCCAACAGAACTCGCTGGGAAGCTGCTCTCTGGGGCCCTGGAGGACCTCCCTGAGAAACTATCTGTGGGGATGGTGCTATTGACATTCACTGGGAAGTCTCCTTCTGGAACTTTCTAGGACTTCTGTGAGACTTGCTGGGAAGCCGGCTGGGGTGCCAGTGGAACTGACTGGATGCTGAGTGTGGTAGGGGAGTTCCTGGGAATCCCAACTGCTTCGGGTCATCAGGTGCCACGGGCACAAGCAGCTGAGAACCCACTGGAATCAGGAGGAGAAGCTCCTACCTCTCCAGCACACCTCCTCAGCTCTCTTCTGACAAAGGTGAACACTGTGTCCTGCTGAAGGAGAAATGTTTACAGGGCCCACCTCCAACATCCAAGGCAGGGCAGAGAGGGGTGGACCGGGAGTACAGAGGCAATAACCTGATAACTGTCACAGGGAACGGTTACAGCGATTTCTTGAGCTAGAGAGGCCCATACAATGGAGTCACGTTCTAAGGTCAAGCATAAGGCAAAAATTGTGTACAGGCAATTAAGTGCAGAATATATAGTTTTGTATATACAGTTCTGTGAAGCAATTCTTATGCACATTTATATCTTAGAAATAGTCAACCAGGCTAAAAGAAGGAAGCAGTTGAAAACCTACATGTGTTTGGTCACTCAAACAATTTTCGCTTACAGGTAAAGAGTGAATAGAGTGCTAGAGAAGTGACAATATTTCCTGTAGAGTTTACTCCAGGGGTGAGGGAACTACAGCCTGTGGGCCAGATCCTGCAGACTCACTGCCTATTTTTGTACGATCTGTGAGCTAAAAATAGGATTTTTATATTTTGAAATGGTTAAAAAAAGTTTCAAAAGAGACTATCATTCATGACACATGAATGAAAATTCAAATTTTAGTGTCCATAAATAGGGCTTTCTTGACCACGCCCATTCACTTACATATTACCCCGTTTTGCTTTCACACTACAATAGCAAGCTGAGTGGCTGCAACAGAGACTCTAAGGACCCACAGTCAGAGAGTGACCTATTTTCTCCCTGCCCCATTAAAGAAAAGAAAAAGTTTGCCAATTCCTGGTTTATTCTATATTGTTTTTAATATTAAGCATGTATGTTGGTTTCTAACTTCAGAGTGGAGGTAAATGTGTGTGTTTTTTAAATCTTCACCCAAACATGTTTATGGATTTGGGGGGGGGGGGGAGAAAGGAAAGGAGGTTGGGGGCTAGAGAAAGCGAGAGAGAGAGAGAGAGAGAGAGAGATAGACATCGATGTGAGAGATAAATATCAATCGGTTGCCTCCCGTATGCCTCCCAACCGGGAATCAAACCTGCACTATTTTGACGCACAGGACAATGCTCCAACCAACCAAGTCACCTGGCCAGAGCTAAATGTGTTTTTGACGCAATTCCACAGTAATTTTTTCTTACACCCAAGATAACTTTTAAAGAAACAAACATCACATATTCAAGAATCACATCCAGTATTTCAGTTGCAGTGATGGCAGAGAAATGTGTGTATTTGCCAATAACAGCAATAGGCTCTGGACAAAATATTAAAATCAAGTATTTGAATACACTGAAGTTGTCACCAAAACCAGACAGAAATGAGAAGGAATGCTATCTTTGAAAGAAGGAAAGGTTAAATACTGAGTGAGAGTCAGGCTGAACTGGCTTTTCCCCTGTTAGGGATACCTTAGTTCCTCAGGTTCTCAAGGAAAGAGAGCTTAACCAAAACGCAGCATGTTTGCCCTGGCTGGTGTGGCTCAGTGGACTGAGCACCAGCCTGCAGACAGAAAGGTTGCTGGGTTCGATTCCCAGTCAGGGCACATGCCTGGGTTGTGGGTTCAGTCCCAGTTGGGTCATGTGCAAGAGGCAACCAATCCATGTTTCTCTCACATTGATGTTTCTTTCCCTCCCTTCCCCTCTCTCTAAAAATAAAGTACATAAAATCTTTAAAAAAAACAGAGAGAGAGAAGATAGAATTCTAGAAATAAAAAAATAACTGGAAATGAAAATTTCACATGATGCACTTAACAACAGCACACTTTTGAAGAAAGAATCAGTGTCCTCAAATGTAACAGAAACTATCCAGTTTGAAGCTTAAATAGAAAAAAGAATAATAATAAAAAATATTTTTTAATTTACTATTTAATATTTTCATTTCCAGTTATTTTTTTATTTCTAGAATTCTATCTTCTCTCTCTCTGTTTTTTTTAAAGATTTTATGTACTTTATTTTTAGAGAGAGGGGAAGGGAGGGAAAGAAACATCAATGTGAGAGAAACATGGATTGGTTGCCTCTTGCACATGACCCAACTGGGACTGAACCCACAACCCAGGCATGTGCCCTGACTGGGAATCGAACCCAGCAACCTTTCTGTCTGCAGGCTGGTGCTCAGTCCACTGAGCCACACCAGCCAGGGCAAACATGCTGCGTTTTGGTTAAGCTCTCTTTCCTTGAGAACCTGAGGAACTAAGGTATCCCTAACAGGGGAAAAGCCAGTTCAGCCTGACTCTCACTCAGTATTTAACCTTTCCTTCTTTCAAAGATAGCATTCCTTCTCATTTCTGTCTGGTTTTGGTGACAACTTCAGTGTATTCAAATATTTGATTTTAATATTTTGTCCAGAGCCTATTGCTGTTATTGGCAAATACACACATTTCTCTGCCATCACTGCAACTGAAATACTGGATGTGATTCTTGAATATGTGATGTTTGTTTCTTTAAAAGTTATCTTGGGTGTAAGAAAAAATTACTGTGGAATTGCGTCGAAAACACATTTAGCTCTGGCCAGGTGACTTGGTTGGTTGGAGCATTGTCCTGTGCGTCAAAATAGTGCAGGTTTGATTCCCGGTTGGGAGGCACACTGGAGGCAACCGATTGATATTTATCTCTCACATCGATGTCTATCTCTCTCTCTCTCTCTCTCTCTCTCTCTCTCTCTCGCTTTCTCTAGCCCCCAACCTCCTTTCCTTTCTCCCCCCCCCCCAAATCCATAAACATGTTTGGGTGAAGATTTAAAAAACACACACATTTACCTCCACTCTGAAGTTAGAAACCAACATACATGCTTAATATTAAAAACAATATAGAATAAACCAGGAATTGGCAAACTTTTTCTTTTCTTTAATGGGGCAGGGAGAAAATAGGTCACTCTCTGACTGTGGGTCCTTAGAGTCTCTGTTGCAGCCACTCAGCTTGTTATTGTAGTATGAAAGAAATATCAAATTTTCTTTTATATATGTAAATGAGGAAGAGAAAGTTCAGAATAAATATCTGAAGAGATAATGGCCAAAATGTCCAAACCTGATGAAGGCCACAAGTAGACATATCATGGCCAAACTGCTGAAAACCAAAGATTAAAGAGAGCAAAGGGAAATGACACATTACCTTCCGAAAAAAAGTAAGAACTCTAACCTGACTTTGTATCTAACACGATGGAAGCCTGAAGGCAATGGAATAAAACTTTTAAGGGGCTGAAAGGAAAAACTGTCATTAGAATTCCATATCACCTAAAAATATACTTCAAAAACAAAAGCAGGAAGAGTGATGTTGGCAATACAGCAGATAAAGAAGTAACCACCCTTCTCTCCCCTATAGATACAGCGAATTAACAATAGACCAGAACACCTCTGTAGGAACTCCACAGGCCAGCTGAGAAGCCACAGCACCTCAGTCATTGTAAAACCAAGAAGGGATTCCAGTAGAAGGGGCAGGAAAATTCCTGGCATTTGATGTGGGTATTTGTGCCTCTCCCTCTCCATAATACAGCTGCAGAGCAACTGGGAGGAAACCACACTGGGGCTCCTCTCTTGGGAGGGAAACAAAAGAGTGGATTGTGTGTCCAACATTCTGGCTTGGCTGGTGGCTGCAGGAGAAACCAGTGTCTGTCTCATCTTATTTCAAACACTGGTATGGTATGGTATGATGAGATCAAACATTGGTATGGTATGGTATGGTATGATGAAAACAGTTTGGCAGCTGCTGAAAACAGGGGTGAGGAG